TGAAGTCACAGTTGTCCCTCCAGAGTTCAATGAGCTCATGGTCTTAGGTTTTTGTTTTGTTTTTTTTTAAGATGTATTTTTACTGATTTCAGAGAGAGGAAGGGAGAGGGAGAGAGAGAAACATTCATGATGAGAGAGAATCATGGATCGGCTGCCTCCTGCACGCCCCCATACTGGGGATCGAGCCCGCAACCCGGGCAAATGTCCTGACCGGGAATCGAACCAGGAACTCCTGGTTCATAGGTTGATGCTCAACCACTGAGCCACACCGGCCGGGCCTGTGCCCTGAGGAAGCATCAACCCGGGAGGTCAGAGGCCAGCCCCCTCCTAGGGCGTGAGAAGCAGGTGTCACCCTGACGGCCCCTGGCTGTCCTCCCTCCACCAGTGCCCCCTCAGCCCGCGCCCACACGCCAGGCTCTCCCTCACCTGCGGCTCTCAGCGCGGTCCGCAGCTCGTAGGAGGACATGGTGCCGGACTTGTCAGCATCGAACCGAAGGAAAAGGTTCTGGGGGGGACACAGGCCGTGAGGACCACAGAGCCCCGAAGGCGCCTTTGATGGCACTAACGGGGCCGGGTTAGGGCGATTCCTTACGAGAGCAGGAGGCAGCGGCTGGGGGGCCTCCAGAGGAAGGCGGCCTGCTTCTCCCTTGTCATTGGGGCAGTTGCACTGAGCTGCTGCTTTAACCCCGGAAGCAAGTGCTGGGGTCCCATCCTGGGTCCCTGCCTTGGCCCTCTGAGCACAAACCCCCGGGCGGCTGCGTCTCGGCCTTTTAAACCCCCCTCTGGCCCGGCCGGCGTGGCTCAGTGGTTGAGCGCCGACCTGTGAACCAGGAGGTCAGGGTTCGATTCCCAGTCAGAGCTCATGCCCGGGTTGCAGGCTCAATCCCCAGTGTGGGGCGTGCAGGAGGCAGCCGGTCCATGGTTCTCTCTCACCATTGATGTTTCTCTCTCCCTCTCCCTTCCTCTCTGAAACCAATAAAAATGTATTAAAAATATAGAGTCCCCTCTGCTATGGGCTTGTAGGGCCCCCTGAGGCCACGCACGCCCCAGGGTACATACCGTCCACGTCTTCAGCTTCTCCCAGAACACTTTGAACTCATCGAACTCCAGCTTCCCGTTGCCACTGGTCTGTGCCGATCGCGTGAAGGAAAAGGCCAGTGTGTTTCCCCTGGGGCCCCTCGGGGGACCCCCCGCCTGGGGCTACAGTGGGGAGGGGCAGTGGGCTGGCGTGGGGGGCCTGGGGAACACAGATTCTTGGCTTTGAGGGAAGTGGTTTCTATCTCTCGCTCCCTCTCTCTTCCTCTCTGAAATCAATGAAAATATTTTTTTTTTTAAAAAAAAGGAAAAAGACCGCCCTGCAGGTACGGGCCACCTTCTGGGAAGGTCTGCCCCGTACAGAGACCTTAGCGTCTATTCTGCCCGCGCGCTGGGGAGGATACGTCCATTAGAGAAATGATGTTCTTACAGGAAATCAGGCTCAGCTTCTCGAATCGAATGCCCTTTTCTGAAATCACACAGAGAGCAGGACTCAGGCCACCCCCCGACAGTACGCCCGCTGCGGTCTCCCGGAGCCGGGCCGTGGGGTTCAGCTCTGGGGCCGGGGCCGGGGTGACGGGCTCCCCCTCCGAGGAGGCTGCTGGGAGAGGTTGACAAGGCCTTGCAGGAGGAACATTTGCAAAAGATGGAAAAAGCCTTCAAAATGTAACTATCCTTTCATCCATTGATTCTAGGTTTAAGAATCACAAGGAAAGTATTACCAATACAGTGGGGCCTTGACTTACAAGTGTCCCGACTAACGAGTTTTTTGAGATACCAGCTGTCTCTCGGCTGATTTTTTGCATTGAGTTGACAGAGTAATTTGAGTTAACGAGCTCCTTAACGAGCTCCTTAACGAGCTTGGTCTCTGAACGAATTAAACTGTAAGTCAAGGCCCCACTGTATAGACTTTTCTCATGGCCCTGGCTGGTGGGGCTCAGCGGATAGAGCGCCGGCCTGGGGACTGAAGGGTCCCGGGTTAGATTCCCGGTCAAGGGCACATGCCTGGGTGATGGGCTCCATCCCCAGTAGGGGGCGTGCAGGAGGCAGCTGATCCACGATTCTCTCTCTCTCATCATTGATGTTTCTGTCTCTCTCACTCTCCCTCTCTGAAATCAATATATATATAAAGTTTTTTCTCATCAGGTTCTTTACGGTGGAAAACGTTTAGAAACGAGGCACTAACTTATGCCCACAAGATAGATTATTGCAGAGCTGCAGCCAGTGGCTCCGAGCAGCAGGGCCGGGAGCCGTCCCAGGCCCCTCCTGGGAGCCCGGGCCCCGATGGGGGTAGGTGGGGGGAGCACTCACTCTTGCTCAGCACAGCATTTAACACAAACTCCAGCTCCTCTGCGGTCACCTCCATGTCCTGTGAGAGCGGAGACAGTGGCTTGTCACCCCTCCGCACCTGCTCTGTGAGTTTCTTTCCGCTCTGGGCTTGACTTGGCTCAAGGGACAGATGGGGCCGCAGGAGCCTCGCAGGCCCAGGGGCGCCTCCCCCGCCCCTGCAGCCGCTCACTTCTCGGGGCTGCGACCCAACCCAGAAAGCCGGAGGGAACTGGGCCAGGCCGGTGCTTCCCGGGCCCTGAGCTCGGCTCCCACGGCCGCTTATGCTGGGGACGTGTGGCCGGAGCCCCCTGCCCTGCACAGCAGCAGCAGCAGCACCCCGAGCTTTGAAATGCCCACACGGGGAGTGGGGGGCACCGTTTTGATCAGGAGACCGGGGACAGGGACAGCCCAGGGCCCCCAACAAGCAGGCTGAGTGACAGAGAGGGTGGGAATGGGGTCAAAGGGCAAAGGGACAGGCCCTCTTCTTCCCCCGGGCCCCAGGCAGAGCCCTGGTGCAAAGGGACAACATGCTGATAAGTGTTAGCAATTGAACCGTGGCCCCATCGCCGGTGTTGCAGGAGGGGCGGTGGGTCGGGGAGGCCGTCTGGGGGGGTTTTCGGGGACCAGGGCTGGTCTCACTGTGCCCCACAGGCCTGGGCACCACGCCTGGGCACCACACCTGGGCATCTCTCTGGGAAGCAGAGCTGACAAACGTCCCTGTTGCTGTATCCCTGGGTTGGGGCATCACAGACACCCAGGCCCGGGCAGCCGCAGCCACACCTCACCTCCCCGGCGACGCGTTCAAACAGGGCCCTGAACTGCTGCTCCTCCTCCGTCTCCTGGTCCCTCGGCGTCGGCTTCGGGGGCTGGAAACGAACCACAGGAGCCCGTGTTGGAGCCACACAAAGGACACTTGTTATTTGCTTTCCCATAGAAGCAGCAGGAGCCCAGCCGGTGTGGCTCAGTGGTTGAGTCTCAATCTAGGAACCAGGAGGGGTCGCGGTTCGATTCCCGGTCAGGGCACAGGCCCGGGTTGCGGGCTCGATCCCCAGTGTGGGGCGTGCAGGAGGCAGCCGATCTATGATTCTCTCTCATCATTGATGTTTCTCTCTCTCTCTTTCCCTCTCCCTCTCCCTTCCTCTCTGAAATCAATAAAAAATATATATATATTTTTTAAAAGGCAGAGCCCTATTCTCCAGGAGCTTAGGATCAATAGAGTCAATGCAATTCAGTGGTTTCTGTTGTGTTCTCAGAGGCGGGCAACCATCACCACAGTCTATTTTATTTTATTATTTTATTTTATTTTTAATATATATCTGTATGGATTTCAGAGAGGAAGGGAGAGGGAGAGAGGGATAGAAACATCTATGATGAGAGAGAACCATCGATCGGCTGCCTCCTGCACCCCCTACACTGGGGATGGAGCCCACAACCCGGGCGTGTGCCCTGACGGGAATCGAACCGTGACCTCCTGGTTCCTAGGTCCACGCGGAACCACTGACCACAGGTAGCCCTTCCCTGAACTTCGAGTTTTATGTGACGCTTTGGTGACAAGCACCGGCTCCAGTCCCAGCCCCCACGGGGACGTGGGCAAGGCTCACCTCCGGAAGGTTGATGTCCACGTGTCCATCCAGGTCCCTGGGGAGGCAGGAAACACGTTTTAACGGCTTGTTTGAAGCGGGACAGAGCAGAACTCAAACAGAACTGTTTCCTGCTTTGTGGATGGGTTAAGCATCCCCCTGGCCCGGTCGGCGTGGCTCAGTGGTTGAGCATCGACCTCTGAACCAGGAGCTCACGGTTCGATTCCCAGTCAGGGCACATGCACGGTGTGGGGCGTGCAGGAGGCAGCGGATCTATGACTCTCTCTCGTCATTGATGTTTCTCTCTCTGTCTCCCTCTCGTTTCCTCTCTGAAATAAAAAAAGAACGCCCTCTGCCCGTTTCGCGGGTGTGTCATGGGAAAGGGGAGAATGGGGTCGTTCGTGGTCCCGCGGTCGCCTGGGATTCTTGAGCCTGGGACTCACCGGCTGATGGTTTTCTTGTCTGAAAAGATCCTCAGGCAGAAATCGGCCTCCTGGTGCGGCTCGAAGGTGCTGGGGATGAGGATGTAGTCCCCGGGGGGCAGCTTGAACCGGTCGGAGACTTCCCGCAGGTTGATGAAGCTCTTGCTCCTGGCCTGGGAGGCGTGGTAGCGGAAGAAGTCCTTGTCCAGGTGGTCCTCCTTCCCGGGGCACTGCGGTGGGAGAGGCAAGGCTGCTGGTTTCCACTATGTGTTATTATTATTATTATTATTTTAAATATATTTTATTGATTTTTTACAGAGAGGAAGGGAGAGGGGATAGAGAGTCAGAAACATCATGAGAGAGAAACATCGATCAGCTGCCTCCTGCACACCCCCCACTGGGGATGTGCCCGCAACCAAGGTACATGCCCTTGACCGGAATCGAACCTGGGACCCTTCGGTCCGCAGGCCGACGCTCTATCCACTGAGCCACACCAGCCCGGGCGGTTTTCACTCTTTGGACCCAGTTTGGGGCCTGGCCATTGCATCTCAGGCCGAGGCCCGGGAGAACGGAGAACCGAGAAGCCATACTGTGAACGCAGACTCGGCGGCTCCCACCCACCTGGTAGATGGCGTAGCCGATGGTCAGCACGTTGGCGCCGAACCGCTTGAGTTTCCTGCGATCCTTCTGCATCAGGGCCACGAGCAGCGTGCACGCCTCCTGCCCGTCGTCCTTCTCCGTCAGGGACAGTCTGATCTGCGGGTTGGTCCAGAAGGTGTCTGCGTGGGGAAGAGGCGGGTGGCTTTTCCTCCTTTATTTTTTATTTTATTTTATTTTTTTTATTGATTTTTTACAGGAAGGAAGGGAGAGGGATAGAGAGTTAGAAACATCGATGAGCAAAGAACATCGATCAGCTACCTCCTGCACACCCCCTACTGGGGATGTGCCCGCAACCAAGGTACATGCCCTTGGCCGGAATCGAACCTGGGACCCTTCAGTCCACAGGCCGATGCTCTATCCACTGAGCCAAACCGGTCAGGGCGCTTTTCCTCCTTTAAAAAACCATGAAGGACACATACGCACACACGCACATGCACACACATGCATGCATACACATACACATGCACACGAACATACACACACATGCATACACACACCGAACATGCACACACATGCATGCACACACATACACATGTATGCACTCACCGCACCCGCACACAAACACATGCATACGTGCACTGCACACGCATGCACACACGCACACGCACACACAGGACTGTGTGCATTGTGTTTTCTGTCCCTCGTATTGGAAAACAACCCGGTGTTAGAACAAGGGCGTTTCCCCCAGCAGTTCCTGCCCAGCTTCCTGCCAGCTGGCCCCTCGCCCTCCTTCCCCCACCGTCCCTGAAGCCCTACAGTCTGACCCCACGGTTCAGGCTTCCTCCAGGGCCCTGGCCCCGATCCTCGACGTCCCCTGGTTGGACTGCACACTCGGGGGTGACGAGAGAGTGGCAGGCAGACTACGAACCCAGGAAGTTGCGGCAGCCGCCGGCCGTGGAGCCGCGCACCCAGCTGCCCTGGTGCACCGTCACCTCCCACTTGTGAGGCGCGTCCTCCTCCAGGGCGTCCGGCGTGAGGTTGCAGATCTCGACCTTGTCGAAGTGGGCCTGAAAGTCGCTAAAGGCCATCCTGCGACAGAGCGGGGGACACGGTGCGTGGGCGGAGGTGGTGATGACGCGACTCACCCATCCATCCATCCATTCACTCATTCATTTGTTCATTCACTCACTCATTCATTCATTCATTCACTCGTTCATGCATTCATGTATTCAATCATTTGTTCCTTTATTCATTCACTGGTTCATTCAATAACTTATTCACTCATTACTGGCTGCCTCTCAGGGGGGTGCCTGCCTCTCTCGATACTGGCTCTGTCTACGCTTTCAGATGCTCTCAGGGTAACTGCCTTTAGGGTCCCTGTCCTCAAGGTGGGCATGGGGGGAGGGGACCCCGTGAGCACCACCGTCTTCAAATTCACCCCAAACTCCAGGTGGGCGCTCAGAGGAAGGGATGCTGGAGAGAGAGGCTCCACCCCATGCTCTCGGCATCCCCGTGACTCCCGGAGACGGGCTGAGCTCCCCCAAAACAGAACAGACTGAGCCGTCTGCCAACCTGGGTGCACATGGAGGGGGGGTTGAGACAGAGGGACTGGATTTACCCACGATAAACAAACACACAAATGAAAGGAGGGGAAATAAGTAGATGAGTAAGTCAAGGGATAAATGGATACGCCAAAGACGGGGGAAAGAAATGCCTAAGTAGGTGACAGTGTGCCCCTGGCCCCTGAGGCCGGCACAGAAACGGGGAGGAGGAGGCGCCGGTACCAGAACTCCCCGTCGTCCAGGGCCGCGTGGCTCAGGCGCTGCTGCTCGGTGGGGCCCACGGCGCGCCACTCGGGGGAGCTAGGAGCAAACACGCTGCGTTAGGTGGCGGGCCCCTCCCTGGGGAGCCGTGTGTGCCACGCAGAGGGGATGGACCCTGGTCAGCGGGAGCTCCCTGGGCCCGGCCATGTGCCAGGGCCTGGGGCCGGTGGGCAGGTGCAGGTCCCCTCCCGGCAGCCGGCGGGAAAGGCCCTCAGGACCTCGGACACGCTGCCCTGCCAGCCTGGCCCGTGTGCCGTGACGGCCGAGGAGGGGGACCCGCCAGAGAGACGGGCGGACTGACCTGTCGCTCCAGGCGCCGTTCCACTCCACCTGCCCCCACGGGTTGCGGACCCTGATGAGCTCCGTTTTCCGGCCTCGGAAGTGGACCTGGAAGATAAATGCGCCGGGAAATGTGAAATGACAGATGCCTCGGGCGCCCCACCTGGCCTGCCGGACCGCCAGCCTCTTGGCTACGACACGCTAACGACACGCTAACGACACATCAAATCTCATCCGTGCTGCTTGGCCCTTGGGGACTCATTCCCGCTGCACCCAGTGGCCAGCGCTGCCCGCGATGTCACGGGACCCGGGACCCCCCCCCCCCCGGCCCCAGAGCAGTGACGCTGAGTCTGGGGAATGAGGTAGAATCGTGGTGAACAGGCCATCAGTCCACACGAGTCTGCAAAGGAGTGGGCTTCTCTCCGGACTGGGGGCTGCCCTTGAACTTGAAGGACACCGTCTCTGAAATGCCTGAAAGTGGCTTTATTCTTTTTTGATATATATATATATTTACTGGTTTCAGAGAGGAAGGGAGAGGGAGAGAGAGATAGAAACATCAATGAGGAGAGAGAATCATGGATCGGGGCTGCCTCCTGCACGCCCACTACTGGCGATCGAGCCTGCAACCCGGGCATGTGCCCTTGACGGGAATCGAACCCGGGACCCCTCTGTGAGGCACTAAGTTAGCACAGGGGACCGGCATCGTTGAGTCTGTCCCTGCACCTGCCCGCCCGCCCGCGGGGGCTCATGTCACCCACCTGGTCAATTCCCGTCACGGTGTAGGCGTGACCCTTAATAAGGCCAAAGGGTGTCCGGGCTTCCGATTCCGCAGAATTTTTTATCTGAAACATGAAAGGGCAGCCGTGTGGGACCCGTGGTGCGAGTCAAGCCGGAGCCTGGGCTCACCGGCCGGACCCAGCTCCGTGCCCGGCCCAGCCGCTCCTGTCCCCGAGGTGAGGGCTCTGGGTCCAGGGCACGTGAAACGGGGACACAGGACACCCGAGGGCGGCGAGCGGCGACATTCACCAAGTCCCCGTCTCTGCCGGGACAGGAGACCCCCGCCCCCGGCTGGGGCTCTAGCGGTCAGTTTACTCTCCTGCCTCCAAACAGAACTACTTGACCGTCCCCATCACGCGGGAGCACGACCTTGAACCAAATCGCATGCACCAAACGGGCAGCGAGGAGCCACCCTGTGCCACACACTGGGAGACGCAGGGGGGACGAACACTTGCGAGCAAAGAATAAGTTCCCACAGGAAACAGGAAACTTAAGTAGGTCTCAAAAACACACAGGGTACAATGACATGTGTGCGCTTTTATCAAAATAAGGAAATTATTTGCCCAGCCGGCGGGGCTCAGTGGTTGAGCATCGACCTATGAACCAGGAGGTCACGGTTCGATTCCCGGTCAGGGCACGTGCCTGGGTTGTGGGCTCGATCCCCAGTGTGGGGCGTGCAGGAGGCAGCCGATCCATGATTCTCTCATCATTGATGTTTCTATCTCTCTCTCCCTCTCCCTTCCTCTCTCTGAAATCAATCAGAATATATTAAAAAGGAAATTACTTTAAATGCTGTTATATTTCTTCTATCGACTGACAGGTTTTTGCACGGTACACGATGCGAAGACAGCAAGTTTTGAAAAGGTGTTCGTGGTAAGATGCGGTTTAGGGAAATCACGCCAGCCCACCTGGGTGTGCATATATGTGCGTGTCCGTTTGTATGAGGGAGGGAGGGCTGTGAAGGGCACGCGCCAGGCAGCACGGGGCTGGCCTGAGGGAGGCAGACAGACACGTGCCTTCAGGTACCTCAGGATCGATCTACCTGACACAGCAAGTATGTCTTCCCTTTGTCATTTGAAAAACATTAAACAGCCCTGGCCGGTTTGGCTCCGTGGATAGAGCATCGGCCTGCGGACTGAAGGGTCCCGAGTTCGATTCCGGCCAAGGGCACGTACCTTAGTTATAGGTCGCCCGACCCGGGTTGGGGTGCAAGCAAGAGGCAACCCATCGATGTGCCTCTCTCACATCGATGTTTCTCTCTCTGTCTTTCATTCTCTCTTTCACTCTCTCTCAACATCAATGGGAAAATATCCTCGGGTGAGGATGAACAAACAAAAAAACACCCCAAAAACCTTAAACAAAAGCTTTTGCTTTAATTAAAATAAACGAACATTTAATTAGAACGAGTACCCCCTCCCCCGCTGCAAGTCCTGTTCCTCGTGGAGGTGGCCGGGCACCTGGCCCCGACCTCTGACCTCAGCGCAGTGCCCGGGACGGGAGCGACTTACGTCGACGGAGCAGCCCACCAGGGAGCCGCGCTGCAGCGCCTTCTCCAGGACCTCGTAGAAGTTCTCGGGCGCCTCCTGGGTGGCGAAGGTCTCGGCCACGCCCCCCGTGAAGTCCTCCATGGCCTCGATGGCGCTGCCCCCCTTCAGCGCCTCGTAGCTCCCGTTCAGCCTGGAAGGGCAAGGACAGCGTGGAGCCCGGCGCGCGGCTCAGTGTCTGAGCGTCGACCTAGGAACCAGGAGGTCACCGCTCGATTCCCGGTCAAGGGCACAGGCCCGGGTTGTGACCTCGATCCCCAGTAGGGAACGTGCAGGAGGCAGCCGGTCCATGACTCTCACTCCTCATGGATGTTTCTCTCTCTCTCCTTCTCCCTTCCTCTCTGACATCAATACAAATATATATTTTTTAAAATATATTTTACTGATTTTTTACAGAGAAGAAGGGAGAGGGATAGAGAGTTAGAAACATCGATGAGAGAGAAACATCGATCAGCTGCCTCCTGCACACCCCCAACTGGGGATGTGCCTGCAACCAAGGTACATGCCCTCGACCGGAATCGAACCTGGGACCTTTCAGTCCGCAGGCCGACGCTCTATCCACTGAGCCAAACCGGTTCGGCAATACAAATATATTTTTAAAAAATGGAAAGAAAAGGAGCATCGTGAAGGGGGGAAACGTTGATGTCAACATCCACGTGGTTCATGGCCCAGATGTGTGAGCCGCCTGGCGCTTGGCGGAGGCAGCAGATCCAGCTGTTCCCAGCACATCAGCATCGCCCTCTGCCTACCCTCCCAGCCCCTGCCGAGGCCAGATTCTTGACGCAGGGAGAGCAAGGGCGGGGGGCACACTGTGCCTGGGGTTGCAGAACTGCTCTGTCCTCTCCATTCCCACCTCCAGCCCTGAGTGCGCCCCCAGCAGGTGGGCCCGGGACCCACACCTGGGACCCCGAGCTGAGTGTCCGCGCTCCATAGAAAGGGCAGGGGAAGGCCCCGGAGGGGGGCAGCCCTGGGAGGGGGTGGCCAGCAGGGAGCGGGCGGCACTCACTTGGCGTAGGCCTTCTCCAGCAGGGCGCTCCAGAACTCGTTGTGGTCGGCCGAGTGCAGGAAGATCAGCCGGTCCCTGAAGGTGGGCAGCCGGTCATCGACCACCACGTCCAGCCACTCGCTGTGCTGCCAGAACTGCGGGCGGTGGGGGCGGACGGACGGACGTCGGGGTGAGTCCCACGGCAGGGCCAGCCCACGGCCGACGCTCATCACTTTGCTTTTCCTTCATCCGACCAAACTGCCCCAGGCCCACCTGCTTGGTCAGGGCACGTGCCCAGGTTGCAGGCTCGATCCCCAGTGTGGGACGTGCAGCTGGAGACGTCCCTCAGAGAGGCAAGGGCAGGGCTCACCTGGAAGTGGAATATCCCGGCGTAACCGGGCCCGAAGCTCTGGTCCTGCGGCACCACCCTCGCCAGCGCTTTCTCGTTGAGCGTGAGGGAGGCGATGGCCGCCAGCAGCCAGCAGTCGCCTGCAGAACGGAAGTCGGAGATCATGGTTTCCGTTTCCATTCATAGCAGATGGGGACACTCTTTGCGGGAAAGGGGGGCGTTCCGTCCTCTCAGCATTGAGAATGGACAGCCCGGCCGGCGTGGCTCAGTGGTTGAGTGTCAACCTGTGAACCAGGAGGTCGGGGTTCGATTCTGGTCAAGGGCACATGCCCGGGTTGCGGGCTCGATCCCCGGTGTGGGATGTGCAGAAGGCAGCCGATCCATGATTCTCTCTCATCATGGATGTTTCTCTCTCTCCGTCCCTCTCCCTTCCTCTCTGAAATCAATAAAAATATATTAAAAAAACAAACAAAAACGAAGTCAAATATCAGTGTTTTCTGTGTCATTCCAGACCGCCCCCCCCCATGGGCAGCCAGGGGCCCCAACCCAAGAAATTTCACCCCAAGAAAGAAAAGAGTCCGGGGCTCCCACCAACGGAGAAACCCGGGCGGGCTGGGGGAGGAGGGACGGAGGACCAAAGGTGGACCAGGGATTTCCTCCCAACCCCCAGGGGTCCGGTTGCCACACCCACCCCGCCCCCCCCCCCCCCGCTGGGCGCCGTGGGCGGTCCGTCTCACCTGCCACCCCTGCTCCCTCCGCTCCCACTCACCGAGCTCCCCCTGGCAGATGTCTGTCCTGGTGGCCCCTCCGAGGATGAATGCTGGGTCCTCCACTATCTCCTGGAAGAGTGAGATGTTCTCTGAAAACAGAACTACTCCCTGACTCCTCTACACCCACAGCTTAAGGAATCGTCGTGTTGAAGGGCACACCCGGAAAGCTCATGGACATTCTGTCAAGACCCTCCCCTGAGACCTTTCCTACGATTCCCGCCAAACCGAGGTACGAAGCCTCGAGGTGACGGTCACACGTGTACTCTCCGTGAGCCCACGCTCTGCGTCTCTGCTCTCTTCCTCCTAAACTACGCGACCCCATGGGACTGACAACCAGGGGGCAGCAGGCAGCGGCCTCTCGTCCCGGGCTTGCTCCCCGAATCTGTCTCCAACGCCCCCTCTTCTCCGACTTTCACTCTCCTATTGCCTTTCTCTCTTCTGCCTTAAGCCCTCCCTTTTCTTCACTGTCTCCAGCTTTCATCAACGTACTCGCAAAATCACCGGGACTCGTGTGGTAAAATCTTTCCTGCACAAAGTGAGGAACCCACACGCTACAGGCCAGCCCAAGGCAGACAGGCATGGTGTATGCAGGCTGCCACGGGGTCATGGCCACGTGCATGGTGTATGCAGGCTGCCACGGGGTCATGGCCACGTGCATGGTGTATGCAGGCTGCCACGGGGTCATGGCCATGTGTCTGGTGTATGCAGGCTGCCAGGAGGTCATGGCCATGTGCATGGTGTATGCAGGCTACCAGGAGGTCATGGCCATGTGCATGGTGTATGCAGGCTACCAGGAGGTCATGGCCATGTGCATGGTGTATGCAGGCTGCCACGGGGTCATGGCCATGTGCATGGTGTATGCAGGCTTCCAGGAGGTCATGGCCACGTGCATGGTGTATGCAGGCTGCCAGGAGGTCATGACCATGTGCATGGTGTATGCAGGCTGCCACGGGGTCATGGCCACGTGCATGGTGTATGCAGGCTGCCAGGAGGTCATGGCCATGTGCATGGTGTATGCAGGCTTCCAGGAGGTCATGGCCATGTGCATGGTGTATGCAGGCTACCAGGAGGTCATGGCCATGTGCATGGTGTATGCGGGCTTCCAGGAGGTCATGGCCATGTGCATGGTGCACACAGGCTGCCATGGGGTCATGGCCATGTGCATGGTGTATGCAGGCTGCCAGGAGGTCATGGCCATGTGCATGGTGTATGCAGGCTGCCAGGAGGTCATGGCCATGTGCATGGTGTATGCAGGCTGCCAGGAGGTCATGGCCACGTGCATGGTGTATGCAGGCTGCCACAGGGTCATGGCCATGTGCATGGTGTACGCAGGCTGCCAGGGGCCAGCAGGGGGCTAGAGGGTGAGGGCCATGCCTTTGGGGACCAGATGTCCGGGGAGCAGGCTGAGAAGGCTGAGAAGGGGGGAGGGAATTGCATGGAAGAAAGCAGATGGTTTCAGGCAGATGGGGAATCGGGGAGAAAACCCCGAGGAGGTCGGGCTGGTGGGCTGCACTTCAGCCCGTGGCTGGCCCCCTCAGGTTGGGAGACCCCATCCCAGACCAGCTCCAACTCACTCAGACCCACAGCCCCTCCCACGAGGCCTAGTGCAGCCCACGCACACCACCTGGGAGAGCCTGTCACCCCACCCCACGCCAGGCCCCCAGGACATCCGCCTCAGTGACTCCTGGCCCCGGGCTCCCTGGAGGGCCAGGCTGGCTGCCCCCCACCCCGCGAAGTCCCCCTGACTTGTCTGATTCCGGCTGCCACTCCCCGCCCCCGAGCTCAGCTGTGTTTGACAAAGGGGTGGCGCTGGGAGACACCCCGGCCCCCGGTCTCACGGGGCAGGACACTCACCACAGACGTGCTGAGCAGGAATGCGGACACGCTTGAGCCACAGAGGCCTGGGGGGGAGGGCGCTGGAAACTGACCATTTCCCTGCCGCCCCCGCTGCCCCCACACCCGGGACCTGAGCTCCGTCCTGCAAGCGGCACCCCGGTCCCCACCCCACATCTTGTCCCCGGTCCCCCAGTCTGTAAGGGACTCTGCAAAGCCCCGAGCCTCTCCCACCCCGACTCCCGGGTAGGAAACCCTGTCTGGGGATGAGCTGTGTGTGTCGAGCTTTGATCTCAGAGAAATTCCAGGTTCGACCAAGAGAAGGTGAGCTGAAGGCTGCACGTTACACTCGAAGCCGGGCAGGGTGGGGGTGGAATACAAGGGTGGGACCCTCCCCCTCCTCCTCCCCTACCCTCCCCGTCCCCCTCCCGAGTGGGAAGAGGCAGGTGTTGGTTTACAGATGCAGGCGGGCCCGTCCCCCCACCCCAGGGACCCTCCCAGCTCCAGAGCACCCCGTGCGCCTGGCTGACCCCAGCATGGGGCCACACCACAACCCACGGCTCCCCCGCCCAGTTCTGCCCCTTCCCTCCTGCAGGTGCTGATCCTAAGGGCACCCCTGAGAAAAGGTGGTCTAGCCCGGCCAGTGTGGCTCAGCAGTTGAGCGTCGACCTAGGAACCAGGAGGTCACGGTTCGATTCCCGGTCAGGGCACAGGCCCGGGTTGCAGGCTCCATCCCCAGTGTGGGGCGTGCAGGAGGCAGCCGATCCCTGATTCTCTCTCATCATGGATGTTTCTCTCTCTCTCCCGCTCCCTTCCTCTCTGAAATGAATAAAAACATATTTTCAAAAAAGAAAGAGAGAAGGCGGCCCAGCTGTCAGAGGGTGGCTGTCAGGTGGGGGTGGCATTTTCTGCCTGAAGGACAGAGGCAGCGGCAGCTGCAGGGGAGGGCTGCCCAAGGCGGGCGCACCCCGTGCTGGCTCTGCCAGCAGCCACACTGTGCTTTCATGGTGATGAGCTGTCCCCACGCCATCGGGAGGCAGCCTGGCAGTGAGCGCAGTGGCCTGGGGCCAGCCCTGGCCCTACCCTGCCCTAGCCATGGGCGGCATTAGTCTCTGGGCTCTGGGCTCTTCTTAGGTGGATGGGAGATAGGATAAGCCCCCCTCTCAGGGTTGTTGGAGATGAAGCGATAGAATCCTGGCTAACAGGGAATGGTGCCTGGGCCATAGTAACCATTGGCTGTTGCCATGGTGATCACTGGTAGTTGCCATGGTGACCAC